TCGTAGCGCTGAAGCCGCAGCAGCCTGACAAACCTCCCAGCAACGCGGTGCTGTGGCCGCTGGATGAGTCCTCCAGCGATGCCTCGCAGCCCCACCTGCCAAGCAAATCTCCTCCAGGAACTCCACAGCTGTTGGACGAGTCACTTGTTCCTGCTGGTGCCCTGCAGCTCCAGCTGTCGGCTGAGCCTCCTCCATCCGCCGCCGGGGTTTTGGGGTTATCAGCCAAGTCTCTCCTTGACACCAGAACCCAGCAGCCTGAGGTGCTGGATGAGTTCCCGGCGAAATGCTTGCATCCTCAACTGTCAGACAGACTTCTCGACGCAGCAGGGACCCTGCGGTCCCAGCCACTGGATGAGCCTCCTGCGGCCGATCAGCTTCAGCCATTGGACGAAACTGCCCAAAATCCACAGCTTCGGTCTGTGGAAAAGGCTCCCAGCTCCATGGTGCCGCAGATTGTAGCATCAGAGATGCCTTCCAGCCCGGGGGTGCTGTGGCCTCTGCCCATTGACAAAGTCTCCAGCTCGCCGGTCTCACGGATCCCACCCACAGAGAAGGCTCCTGGATCAGCCATGCCACGGCCCCAGCCTCAGGAGAAGGCTTCCTTCTCCGGGGCAGTGCGAGTCCTAGCCGTGGAGAATGCTCCCAGCTCTGGGGTGCCCTGTCCCCTGCCTCCAGAGAAGGCTCCTCCCTCAGGGATGCCGCGAATCTTGCCCACAGAGAAGGCTCCTGGCTTAGGGCCGCCACGGCCGCTGCCTCCAGAGAAGGCTCCTGCCTCCCGGTCGCCGCACGTCCTGCCCATGGAGAGGGCTCTTGGCTCAGGGGCCCTGCGGATCCCGGTTATGCAGAAGTCACTCTCCGCTGGGCTGCTGCGGCCCCTGCTTCCAGAGAAGGCTACTGATGCTGGGGCCCTGCGAGTCCTGCCTCCGGAGAAGGCTCTCAGTCCTGGGGTTGCCCGACCTCAGCTCCTGGAGAGGCCTCTCGCTCTTACAGCCCCTTGGCCTCAGCCGTCAGACAAGCTGGCTGCTGCTGTGGCTCCTCGGCCCCAAGCCTTGGACAAGCCTCTGGCTGCATCAGCTCCAAGGCTGTTGCTGTCGGAGAAGGCGCTGCGGCCCGTTGACCAGAACGCTCAGCCAAAGGAGAGAGGAGCCCCGGCTGTGGAGCCGAGTCCCCAGCAGAAAGAGAGGACCATGTTAGCTGGCGAACAAATCTCTTGGTCTGCTGGGAAAGCAGTGACGCATGTCGGACAGGTACCTTGGCCCACGGAGAAACTCCAGACGCACGAGCAAACCCACTGGCCCACGGCAAAAGTCCTGATGCCTGCAGAGCAACCTCCCCGGACAGCAGAGAAACTACCCGAGCCGACTCTTCAGCCCAGCTGGGAAGTGGCCTCAGCCCCCGCCGAGCAAACCCCTTGGACATCAGAGAGATTGTGTGTGTTTGAGCAGACCCCTCGGCCAGCCAGGGAAGCGCCAGTACCCCCGGAGGAGATGCAGTGGGTTGTCACGAACGTTCAGACAATTGACCAGATTTCTTGGCTGAGCGGAAAAGCACAGACTCCTCTGGGGCAGGACCCTTTGCCTGAGCAAAACACAGCGCTAGCCCGTAACCAGGATTCTGTCTGTCTCGAGTTGGCTGACTCAGAGCCAGAGTGAGGTTGGTGAATATGGGAAGCAGGTTTCAGTCTTTTAATGTTTAGGGAGGGGGAATCTTTTTTTTGTTTTTTTTTATTCACTTCCCTGAACCCATCCCCTAACCCATGCACATCCCATCCATATTCTCTCGTGACATGAGCAAGGACATTCTCTAAAGTCTGAGTGTGGCCCAGCAAAGGGAGAGAGAGCATCCGTGACCTTTTTCCTCTTCCTTCTACAAATGGTAAAGCTGAAATAAAGAGTCCATTCTGGGTTAAAATCTCCAATTCCATTGAAATGGTCACATTACTGATCCAGCATGTTCGAGCTCCAGGTCTGATTCATAGGCGGGTTCCCAGGTACAGCTAGGGACCTTGCTGTTATTACAGTATTTAGAGAAAGCAGATCAGTCAGGCTGCCCTGGGACTGGAGGTATTTTGGGGCTCAGGTGGTGAGCGGTCAGGTGCAGGCCCTTGCCGGACTCTGTGGAAGCCAGGGAAGGGGTTTTTCTGTTGTCTGCCCAGGTCTCTGTCTCTGCAGGGTGTTGCTTTGTGAGATTTGTCTGTAAGTTCACTGGGACATGCTGTGTGTGTGGTGCACTGAAGGACAGATACCGACTCCAGCTGAGCTGGGAGAGGAGCCCGCTGCACTCGCTCAGTGCTGTTTTCTCCAGCAATAGACAACACCGTTTGGGCTCCTTTCTACAAAGCTGTGACTGGTCAGGCCTGAGAAGCCGAGAATTTGAAGGAGGTCAGTGAAAGGGGAGATCCTGGAAGAAGCTATCTGGCAGGATTTTTCATTCTTGTGTCTTAACCCTTCAGCACAGGACACGCGGAGTGTTTCCTGCCCTTGAAAACACTGTGACCTGTAAAGCAGCAACGGCAGAGCAGGGCAGAGAAGGTTTCCCCAAGGTGCTGAGCGCTGCCCTGGCAGGGTGGTGGTACTCCCTTTCAAATTTCCATCCAGTCTCTCCTTGACTTCTCTCGTCACCATGAACCAGCAGGCTGAGCAGTCTTGTCTCCCCTTGCCCCAGATGTGTTCAGGATGTGTTCCGGTCATACCTGGTCTTCCCAGCAGCAGGACATGCCACCGAGCTGCAGGTGAAGCCTGTGCCACACGGGGGCAAGGGTGTCGTAGCTGTATCGGGACCCATCTTGACACCTTTCCCTCGGGTAGCTTCTGGCTTAACACTTCTACAACCAAAGGAGACTTGAATTAACTGGACTGTGCTGGTGTGCATGTGTGTGTGTGTGTGTGTGCGCGTGTTTGTGTCCTTCCAACCGATAGTAGTTCTCACACTGGAACACAGTGGGCTCCAGCAGCTGGCTGGCTTTCTTCTTTCCCTCTTCTCCCTTTTCCAGTTAAGGAGATGTTTAGTACCTGGCAGTCATCAGGCTGGTGTCCAGACTAGGCCTGCTGAAAGCCATTTACTCAAGTGTCGAGGCAGAAGTTTGCTTGGCCGTGGTACTTGTGGGGCCAGCGGTGGTGTCCCAGGGGCCTGCAGAGTGGTGTCCGGTGACCACCGGCACCCTCGCGGGTTCAGGTCTCCCTGGGCAGCGCTGCTGGGGCCGGACAGGGTTGGTATCTGCCCGTTAATCGCCGCTGACCAGCACACTCTCCCTCTCTCACAACACATTACCTCTGTGATTCGCTTGAGCTCTGCTGACACGGGTGCCACAGCCCTGGATCCCCATGCCCACCACCAGACCCTCGCGCAGCTCCAGTGTGTCCTTCTCCTTCCGCGCAGATCCCTGGCTCCCTCCCCGCAGAGGGGGTGTTCGGCTCCGCTCTGGCCCTCTCCCTCTGATGTGGGAGCAGATCCTTTTTCCTACCTGGCTCGCAAGTGCCTGCTGCTCCCAGAGCAGACAGTCATGAGCTTTGTGGTTTTCTATGAAGGGAAGCAGACACTTGTACCAAGACAAATCCCGATCCGTTCTTCTTTCTTGATGTGCACGCCCCAAGGCAACGTCCGGCTGTAAAAGCCGGGTGTGTTGGGCACAAGGAGGCATGACCAGTGCTGTGCTGCATCTCTTCTCTAGTCCGAATCATTTCAGATCCTTTGTAGAATAGCTAGTGACTTCGAAAAGCTTTATGGCTTGTGGAAACTTACTGTTTAATGTCTTGTTTTGTTTTTTTTCCGGAAAGACTGGCAGGGTCAGTTCCTGCTTGCTGCTGAAACTGGAGAAATGCAAGCAGCTTGTGTTTCTGCGTGACTCCTGCACAAAGGGAATCAGGACAACTCCTCAGAGCCATTGAGAGAGAAGATAAACTAAGGGCATTCATTCACTTTTTTAAACAAAAGAAAAAAAATGGTAATGACGCTCAGTATATTAAGTATTTATCATGTGTGAGAAGGAAAATGAATTAACATTTATAGGCCTTCCCGTGAGCTGGACTTAGTCATGTAGATTGTGTACGTAGGTTTACCTCCATGCCAGCTGCCCAGCCAGCTACAGCTGTAACGAGAAAAGTATCTGCACTGCTCTGTCCACCTCTGCTTTGCATTGTCACGTGTTAACTAGTTACTTGTTTCATGAAAAATAAACTGTGAATATTTTTGGTGCAGGCTTTTTTAAATCTGTAAAATGGAGAAGTTCTCAAGGAATTCTCATACACGCAGGTTTGAAAGAATCACTTCTCTAAATCACACTCACGTGGTTGGGTGAGGTTCATGGCAGCAGCAGCCTTTAACGCAGCAGCTTGTTTTGAGCAGTGAACATGGATTGAACCATTGCATGGCATTCAAACCCACAGCCTTACTCCTTGCATCTCTCCATATCCTGCCTCTCTTCTTGTCTCCCTTCGTTTCTTTTCCACGAGGATCCAGATTTCTGCTTTCTGCCTTCCAGCCACTGTCAGAGAGTTGATTTCAGTGTAGCTGGGAGACTGCTCAGTGAAACTGATGTTTGGAAACGTCACTGAAGGAGGAAGCCAGCAAGCTGCTCTTCCCCCCTTGCCTTCATTATACCCCTGGGCTGTGCTCTGTCAGATCAGGAGGGCTTTTTCAGGTGTATGAGGGCTTTCGGAGGGAGCTGCTGTTAGGAGCAGCTGTCTGTGCTGGGTCACCTTAGCAAGATGAGCAAAGCCTGATCAGGCTTGGAGACAGGTGCCAGCAGCCCTGCCCTGCCCAGCCTGCCTTCACCGGCAAGGGAGCACAAGCATGGGCTGAGAAACAGCTCCAGGCAGTGAATCCCTCCTGAAGGAAATGTGGGCTTCTTCAGCACTTGAGGTGACTTCGATGTTGGTGGCCAAGGCCGTGGTGCTTTCTTTGCTGCGTTGAAGGGGTCACTTGGCCTCTGAACAGTCTCGGGTCAGCTGTAATTGCACACAAGGAGGGTAATGAGGTGACTCTTGTTTTGATTTGCTGTTCTGGAAAGTTATAGAAGCAGAATTAAGGGTATGATTATTCTCAGAGCTGTGTCCCTCTCCCTGCTGTCAAAGTAGGCTTGCAGGAACTTCCTTCCTACCTGTAGGAGTGGCTCCTCCTTCCCAGCTCTGACGGTGGTGAAGGAGTTGCACCCGTATAAATGCTTCACTGGTCACCATGCTGTGAGGGCAGCCTGCCTGCTCCTGCTTGGAGCCGTGGGGTTGCCGGCCATGGCCCCTGTCCCATGTCAGGACCCACTTGAGTGGTGGATTTCCATGGTGGGCAGGAGAGTCTCGGTGGAGCTTCGGCGGTGGAGGAGCTGCGGCGAGGCGTCGCAGCATGGTTAGGGACTCCGGTGGGCACAGCCTGCCTGCTCCAGGCAGGGGAAGAGCTGTGGCAGGGCCTGTGGGATGAGTGGGCAGGAGGGAGGCGGGCACAGACCACTGCCCCGCGTGCCGCATCCTATCTACACCAGCTGGCTGGGCTGGCACCCGCTGCAAGTCAGGACTCTGGTGAATCTGGCAGAAAAGTGACCACTGTAAGGGACAATCCCCTACTGCACATCTTCACGTACTAACTAGCTCATGGTAAATTGCTTTATTGCTGTTCTCGAGCTAAAACTTTTCCTATTTAACAAAAGCAAAAAACAAAAACAAAAAACGACCAACAAACCACAAGAACCAGATTCACTTCAATGCACAAACATATCCAGGTGGTACCGTGGGAGCGTATGTTACAAGTTCAGGGTTAAACCCCGCACAGGCTTCGCTTTGAAGATGTGGCTGTTAAAATTCAGGAGATGAGAGAGATGGTTGCATCTAAAGGACCGTAAGGTACTAAGGTGAGATAATGTGGATTGAGGGTGCTAGAAGAGCCTTAGCTCAGTTTCACAGAAAAACAAAAAAGAGGGGGGAAGAAAAAGCAGCCCTAAACCTGATGCATCTTGGCAGCGGTTTAACCTGAGCACACTGTGGATGTGTGCTTGCTCCTGCCTGGACACCGCAGCCAGCGGGCAGGGGGAATTTGTTTGAGAAACCTCAGACCTTCAACACCTTCTGCTTATTTTTAATTTCAGCCTTGACTTCTGATTTTGCTTGATGTTTGGAATAACCGTAATTGTAACCTGCTTGTAATGTTGCTTTGCCCTAAATTACTGATGAGGTTTTCAGCCTTTGCCAGCTAGCGAGAGTTAAAGCAAAGTGGCAAACCGTGCAGCTACTCCAGAAGTACAGAGAGGGCCAGCGTGACTGATGGCCAGGCTTCATCCGCGCCAGTTACTCCCCTGTGACAGTGGTAACGCCAGTGGCAGCTTTTGCAGCCGCGTCGGTGGTGTCTCGTGCAGCAGCATGGCCCAGCTGATGGGTGCTTGGGGCTCCCGGGGCCTGGGAGATGGGATGCTGAAGCATGGGGACCAGTCCACTGCTTGCCTG